CAGGAAAGCACTTTCTGTCCCCTGTGGGTAGGCTCTAGATTCAGTTCTCCAGGATTCTCTATCCCATGGCCCGAGCACAGGGCGCATCTATGCTCAGAGACAGGTCCAGCTTAGGAAACTTGTTGGGAGGTGGTTCTGCAAGAGTAAATATTAAAAACAATCACCAACTCTTCCTGTTTTTGCTGAAAGTAAATACCATTTGTGGCTGTCCCTAAAGTCCTCACAGCCCTTTTCCCAGGGATGTTCCAATGTTTCTAGCCTGTCTATAGGTGCTATGCCATTTTTGTGTCTGTTCCTAGATTTGTCATGATCAGCTGGGGCTAGAAGTAATGGAGCAGGGAGTTTTGGGTGCTTCCTATTTCTGTATGTTGGGTTTTCCCCAGGCTTGGCCCAAGAAGACTGGCAGAGCAGGGGTGAGTCCCAGAGTAGGCGTGTAGCTTTTAAGGAAACTCCAAATAGCCAGTATTTCCCCTTCCTCGGAAAGAAAGGAGGAGTGGCTAAGTGGACTTGGGGTGCCAGGCAGGCAGGAGAAGGGAACCTCTGACAGCAGACCCCCGCCCTTCCTCCTCCTTAGCTTTCCTGGGGCAGACAGGGATCAGGTTGGGGGACGTAAGGAGACATGGTAGAGGAATAGGACCCCTTATTTATACAGGCCCCCAAGTAAGAAGCAAGCCCGAGCAGCCTTGCTGGAGAAGCATCAGATCCACAGCTTTCAGCTTCTTCCATCATGGGCCTCTAGTGAGGCGTCTTCTTGTTACCTCTGACAGAGACCAGGACCCAGACTTGCTTTCAGTTTGAGTTCAGCTCCCTTCTCCCGTCTCCTACTGTGACTGTTTTGGCTGTGATGTGTCTCTCTTCCTCCCTTCCTGGGTGGGGTGTGTCTCCCCCTTCCCCAAAGATGGGGTGTTTAGATTGATTCTAGTCTTAGAGGAAATCAAAGAGGGATTTAAAAAGGGCTCAAAGAATTACACTTCTTTCAGTGTTGAGAAGTGGTTGCCGAAGGACAAATGAGAACAGACAACCCAGAAGCAAGAGGGCAGCTGTGTGGATGCCAAATACCACACTGGCTTTCCAGAAGGACAGGAGTCTTTGCCAGTACCCACCATATTCCAGATGTGTGCAGGTGTAAAATAGTCATCATCTGATGCTCAGAAACCCCCGCAGGATAGTGAGATGTGCTGGATGGATGAGTCCAGTGAACTTGGTAGCTCTGAAATGCCCAGAGTGGATCTTGGGCAATCTGGCTCCACAGCTGGTACCCTCTGCCTTCTTTCTGTCCAACAAGACTTTCATTGGGGACTTACCAAGAACTGAGCTTCTGTCTCTGAGAGCCCACTGTCCAAGGAACCACGGAAACAGGCTCCTGACTGAGGCTGGAGCCGTGTCTCTGGAAGCCAGGAAGTTGGCTTCCTCTGGACATTGGACCCTGCCAGATTTATGCACATTATCAGGTGGAGGCAAGAGCCATCATGCTCTTGTCTAGCAGCAAAGGAACTGCCTGGTCCTCTGCCTTGACTAGTGGCTCCCGCCATAGTCAGTGCTTTGCTCTGTGAGAATGCTAGAGGTTGCGGGTTTTTCCTTCCCACCCCCTTCCCGTTGCACTCTCAGCCCTGACAAAAAGGAGGCTGGGGCCGCTGTCATCCAGAAAGCTGTGGAAGCTCTAGACAGGAGGGGGTGGGCCTGCTGTGAGGACTGTTGGGTGCTTTGCCACCTATTTCCACACTGCAGGGGTCCATCTTCTCTGAGGATTTAAATTTTGACCAGGTCCTTGATGGGTCACCGTGGTTTTAAGACCGGTGTCCCGTCCCGGAGGGGGTTATTTTGTTCAGTCTTGAAGCCTGGAGAGAGTCAAGCATTTCCCCAGCAGCACACCTGGCAGGGAGATGTAAAGCCACAGCAGCCCACAATGGTTGGCCGAAAGAGGAAGTTGGTGTAGACAGGATGTGATGTCTGCCACAGTAGCAGTAGACTATTCATGCTCTGTACCAGGGTCTGAGGTTTCTATTGCTAATGAAACAGCTGATGACCAAAACACAGATTGAGGAGGAAAAGACCTCTCCACTTCCAATCACAGTATGTCATCAAAGGAAGCCAGGGCAGGACCGAGGAGGGAGGAGCTGGAGGCCATGGAGAAATGCTGCTTGTGGTTTGCTCCCTTGCTGAGCGTGCTTTCTTCCGGTACCCAGGACCATCTGTGCAAGGGTGGCATACCTCAGTGAGGGGGTAGACCCACCTGCATCAATCATTAAGAGAAATGCCCCACAGGCTTGCCTGCAGGACAATCAGGTGGGGACATTTTCTCAAGAGAGGTTCTCTTCTCATTTATTTATTTATTTATTTATTTATTTATTTATTTATTTATTTATTATGTATACAATGTTCAGCCTGCATGTATCCCTGCAGGCCAGAAAAGGGAACCAGATCTCATCGTAGATGGTTGTGAGCCACCATGTGGTTGCTGGGAATTGAACTCAGGACCTCTGGAAGAGCAGTCAGTGCTCTTAACCTCTGAGCCATCTCTCCAGCCCCGGGGTTCTCTTCTTAAATGACTCTAGCGAGTGTGAAGTTGACAAAACAAATAAATAAAAACAAAAAGGCCAGCACAACCAGCATTTTTTTCTTCTGCAGGAAAAAATAGGAAGTTATTTTCCTGGCTCAGACGTGGTAGCAGTATCATTGGATGATGGTGCTATGCCCAGGGTGTGTAGAGCCAGGATTAGTCCTGGGGACCCTTTCTGCCTAGTTTTCTCTTCCTGTCAGCCTGTCCCCCAGCTGGCTGGCCTGAGGCTGTCTGAACCTACCTTGGACCTTCGTGTCTGTTTGTTAAAGCGCCCTGCTCCTGTGTGTCACCCACACACAGACAGTTGAGGTCGGCCATCAGCAGAGCAGTTCCCGAAGGCGGGCTGTGTCTACGCATCCTACCGCCAGTGCAGTATCAGCGGGGGAGGATGCAGGCCGCCTCTGTCATGTAGTTCAGGCAGAGACCAGGGAAGAGTTGTGAGGACATTGTCTCTGTCTTGTCTCTCTAGTCCTCAGTTCTTCCATTTGTAACTAACTGGACTCCTCCACCAGCCTCCTTTTTTGAACCCTAATGGTCCTGTTTTCAGCCAGGATGTGAGCCCACTGTTCCTGGGGCCTGATAGCCATGGACCCACCATCAACTTAGGTCTCTGTAAAATGTGTTGAGAGGAGGAGACTGAATGTAGATTGCGTTCTTGGGATAAGATGAGTGCACAAATGGCGTAATAGTGTGTGTGAGATAAGTACATGATGGATTATGTGACAGAAGTAAATAATATTTAAGGGTTTTCCTGTTGGTCCCTTAAGTAGAATACCGGCCCCCTGGAGATCCTGAATACACCATTCATTTAAGGATGAGGGTGGGGTTAGACAGGAGTGAGGCCAGTGCTCAGGCTTGGGTTACCAGGGACTGAGAGCCGGCCTTAGAGAAGCAGGGAGAGGTGAGAGGGAGGTCTTCCCGGAGGTCAGGTGGGTCAGGCAGCTGTGGCACCTCAGATGGGCATCTTGTTTGAGTCCTAAGTGGGGTGTGCAGGCGCTGTGATCTGATCAAAGTGTCAGATCAAAGTGTCAAATTAGAGGCAAAGCTTGTGACCTAGAACAAAGCCAGTCATGTCTGCAGGGGACACAGGGGAGATCTACACCATGTACAGGCAGACTTTAGACCTTCCTTGCACTGCACCGACTGTTCATTTAGTACATAGTAATGAGCAAAATAAAATAACTCATGGTCTATCCTTCAGTATTTTATATTAGGGTGTCTTAACAGGGGGTCTGGACAGTGCCCTGTATTGGTTAATCGGGAGGGTAATCATTTGTAATGAGTAACAAGTAAATTGCTACTGCTTTTTTTGTTTTTTGTTTTGTTTTGTTTTGTTTTGTTTGTTTGTTTTGTTTGGGTCAAGGTTTCTCTATGTAGTCCTGGCTGTCCTGGAACTAGCTCTGTAGACCAGGCTGGCCTTGAACTCACAGAGATCCGCCTGCCTCTGCCTTCCGAGTGCTGGGATTAAAGGTGTGTGCCACCACTGCCCGGCTTGTAAATGTTTTTCTAAAAGTGTGTGAATGGTTCTCTTTGTATAAATGACCTCATTCACTTGCATCTGATTCATGATGTTTGGCTCTCAGGTCACGGCAGAAAAGCAAATTGAAAGTGGCTTTCAGAGTTTGGTCTGTCTTATGCTAAGAAGTATCTCTTGGTACCAGAGAATGGATGGTTCAGGGGTTCAAAGTAGGCACTGCTCTTACAGACAACCCAAGCATCCATGTCAGACTGGTCATAGCTACCTGTAGCTCCAGCTCCAGAGGATCTGATACCCTCCCTCTTCTGGACTCCTAGGGCACATACATACACACACACACACACACACACACACACACACACACTTTAAAATTAGTAAAAAATATTTTTAAAAACATCTTTTTTACAGTATGGCCTTTCCCAGTTTGACTTACCTCATATTACATGAAGTACCTTTTATAGTATGATTTATGTGTATATGACATATATGTGGAATGTCAAAGAAGGCTTCATAAAACATTTATACTTCCTACTTGCAATGAATCTTGGTGTCTTCTATTTAAATCTTATTTTCATTTCTAAGTATTTTGTGTGTATACTTTGTATAGGTATGTGGGAGCAAGTGTGCCATGATGTACTCAGGGGAGTCAGAAGACAGCTTAGAGGAATTGGTTCTTGACTTCCGCATGGCTCTGCTCTGGAGTTTAAACTCAGGACAGACTTGGGGGCAAGCACCTTTACATAATTTTGCATTCCAGATAAAGTTAATTTTGACTCATTAGATTGATTAGTTTGGAAAATATTGTTCAACCAAACTTGACTGTTCTGGTGGGGAGACAGGAAGTGTCCCCCTTCTATGCTGCCTTAGCAGCAGTAAGAGGGGAAGGGGAAGTTCGTGCCTTCCTGCCCTCCAGGTGAGTATGTGGTGGGAGTTTCAGCTTGCTGACTTGGGTTCTCTCCTCAGAGTTCCATGAACCTGCCTCCTGACAAGGCCCGGCTCCTGCGACAGTACGACAACGAGAAGAAGTGGGATCTCATCTGTGACCAGGTATGAGGTGGCAGTCTGTGTGATCAGGTGTGAGGTGGCGGCGGTCTGTGTGATCAGGTGTGAGGTGGCAGTCTGTGTGATCAGGTGTGAGGTTGGCAGTCTGTGAGATCAGGTGTGAGGTGGCAGTCTATGTGATCAGGTATGAGGTTGGCAGTCTGTGTGATCAAGTATGAGGTGGCAGTCTGTGTGATCAGGTGTGAGGTGGCAGTCTGTGTGATCAGGTGTGAGGTTGGCAGTCTGTGTGATCAGGTGTGAGGTGGCAGTCTGTGTGATCAAGTATGAGGTGGCAGTCTGTGTGATCAGGTGTGAGGTGGCAGTCTGTGTGATCAAGTATGAGGTGGCAGTCTGTGTGATCAGGTGTGAGGTGGCAGTCTGTGTGATCAGGTGTGAGGTGGCAGTCTGTGTGATCAGGTGTGAGGTTGGCAGTCTGTGAGATCAGGTGTGAGGTGGCAGTCTATGTGATCAGGTGTGAGGTTGGCAGTCTGTGTGATCAAGTATGAGGTGGCAGTCTGTGTGATCAGGTGTGAGGTGACAGTCTGTGTGATCAGGTGTGCGGTGGGAAGGCCAGGGAGGTAGCAGTCTGTGACACCTGGAGAAGACAGTAAGGCCAAAGCGTGTTGGCAGGAGCCAGCCTTGATACGGGGTAGGTAAACTGACTTTGTTCAGGGGCTGCCTAGTGTACAGTGATGCAGTGGCCTGTGCAGGGTCATCTGTGGATCAGGTGGGCAGTTCCTCCAGAAGACTGTGTTCAGTGTAGGACTGTGACTGTACCTGCAGGCTATGCTCAGGGACTCTGTTACTCTGGCCCAGACAGGACAGATAGTGGGGTGCTTCTCCTGTCAGCCACAGACTTCTAGGAGGGAGATGATGCCCTTGTCCTCTTGGGTAGTCCTTGCATGGGTAGTGTCTAGAGCTGAGTAAGAAGAGAAAGCATTACTTTGCTGATAACCAGGGTATTATAACACTCACTGCCTAGGTTCTTTCTCCTGCACATTTGTCTTTGAATGCAAAGCTCAGCATGGTGCAGACCTGGCACAGAGTGTGGGCATTATGTTTACATAGCACTTAGACGCTGAGCTTGGTCATGAACAAATCTGCGGGTTTTTTTTTTTTTTTCTTTTCAGGCTCTGACAAAAACATAATAGCTAATGTTTGAGAGCTGATTATCTGTCAGGAATGCCACATATAGTAAAATACTTCATTTAACCTCACAAAGTCCTCTGCTGGTCCTCTTTCAGTCAGAGAACCCAGAGCCAGATTGGTCCAGGACATACAGGTGCCAGGTCTTTGCTGGCTGTTCTCTTTTGTCGTGTCCTGTGCTTGCCACGAGCTGGCATTGTGATTCTGAGGTCCACGTCCAAGCTCTCGCCAGGGAAGGGTTTGGAGGACAGCAGTGCTGAAGTTACTTCCTTGATAAGCCCTCTCCTTTTGTTTGTTTTTTTGGAAACAGGGTTTCTCTGTGTAGTCATGACTGTCCTGGAACTTGCTCTGTAGACCAGGTTGGCCTAAACTCAAAGAGATCCTCCTGCCTCCGCCTCCCTAGTGCTGGGATTAAAGGTGTGCACCACACTGCCAGGCAAATTCTGTCTTTTTTTTAGGTTACATAATTTCAGTTTTTCTTGGAGTTTTGTTTGTTTTCAGGTCCTGTTTCCTAACATTATGTCATTCTCCTGAATCCCTGTATGCATCTCTTCCCCTGAGCTCTTCAGATAGCTTCTTTGTGGAGGGCTGTATAGGACCAGAATGCTGAGGGGTTTGTTGAGTCTCCTATTGGGTGGACCCAAATAGAGAGGCCATAGTCCTGTGCTCTGTGGAAGGGTATTGAGAAAGAACCCAGCTGAGAACAGCTTTCAGCATTTGCTTGCTGGGGTCCAGTTCCTGGGCAAAGCACAGACAATGTACCTCCCTAAGACTAAGAACACAGCAAAGCTAGCTGAACCCCAGCTGCAGAGTTTAGAACTACAAAAGCTAGATTCTTCAGGGCAAAGCTCCCCTCGCTGTGGCTTTCATAGCTGCCTGCCAGTTAGCCAGTTCTGTATTCACTTTAGGTACTAGTCACAGCTGTGGTCTCTGCATCTTAGCAAGCAGTAGACTAAAATAGTCCCTGGCATAGAAAAGCAGTGTAGATGCTAGGGAGCATTGCCTGAAGAGGAGCCCGCCCGCAGCCACAGGTGGGAATGTGCCCAGGGATTGGTCAGGGAAGGGAACCTAGGGTTTCGATGATGCTAAGGGGCAGGTGACATCTGGAGGCTGAGTCCCTCAAACAGCTCTGTCGGCATTCTCCGTCCTTAGACCTCCATGGACTTTGTGTTTCTGTGTGCACACGTGTGTTTTTTCTTACAGGAACGATTCCAGGTGAAGAATCCTCCCCACACCTATATCCAGAAACTTCAGAGCTTCTTGGACCCCAATGTAACACGGAAGGTGATGTATAGGACGGAAAGGCCCTGTCTTGCTGCCCTTCATGGTCCTGGGGGGTTGGGGCACAAACCTTTTGACTTGGAGCTAAGTATTTTGACACTGATTTTTGAATATTGACAGTTAAATATCTGGGCTTTGAGGCCTAAGTGACTATCCAGTACCGGAGGGAAGGTCCGTAATTGCACATTGTCATCCCCATGTTTTCTTTTCTGCCTCTTTTATTTGTAATATAAAAATGCATAGCGTATGCCTGTGATCCCAGTACTTAGGTGACTGAGGCAAGAGGATTGTGAGTTCCAGGCCAACTTGGGCTACATGGCAAGATGCTGCACACCCCCTTCCCAGACAGACAGACAGACAGACAAGGTTGATGGAGGAAGGGAGGTTAGAGAGATGACTCAGCAGTTAAGGGAACTTGCTGTTTTTCCAGAGGACCCAGGCTGAGTTCCCAACACCCACATGGTGGCTTGCAACTCCTGTAACTCCACTTCCAGGAAATCCAACATCCTCTTCTGGCCTCTATAGGCAGTGTATGCATATGGTACATAGATATACATGCAGGCAAAACACTCATACACAGAAACATAAATAAATAAAATCTTAAAGAAAAGTAGTTGACAGGGAATGTCTGTCAAGTGACAAAAGATTCCATGTTTACAGAAGTTCAGGAGGAGAGTACAGGAGTCAACCAAGGTCCTGCGGGAGCTGGAGATCTCACTTCGCACCAACCACATTGGGTAAGTCAGGCCCGGCCATCCTGGCCTCGCTCCCTGGCACCAAACACTGTCAGCCACACAGATTTTGGTGCCCTTTGTTGGTTTATCCTTCCTGCCATGAAGCAAGGCTGTCTCTTGAATAGACTCTGGCTCTACAGAGCTCTAGATAAGCCCTTTCCAGCTTCTCCACCCGTCAGTTCTGCCAGCTGCTGACCAGTTACTTCTGGCAAGCTTGGGGCCTCTCTTGGGGTCCTGTGGCTTTGAGTAGAAGACATTCCCATAGCAGCTAAGACTGGAGTCTGCCTGTGGTCTGGTCCTGGGCCAGGAGAGGCCCAGCAAAGGTTGGGATGTGAGAATATATTATATTGATAGATGAAACCTAGTGCCTAATTGGTGACTAGTTAGACTTTTTGGTGCACAGATTATTTGTTTGTTTGAGAAAAGAAGAAGAAAAAAAAACTTAGTACATAAACAGAAGAGGCTTCCTGAAGCACCAAAGAAAGATGTGAGACAGAGAGGCCCGGGCACTGGGCGTCTCCTGTCCTCACAGGTCCTGTTGCTGTCAACACATTGAGATCTGTGGGGGTCTTTCAGACCGAGTGGGGTACCAGGTGGTGCTGAGGGAGCTAAGGGCTGATGTGGCGAGGGTCGGAGGGACAGTGCCTCAGTCCTGTGATGCCGTCCCAGCAAGAGTGAGAAAGAGATGAGAAGAGGCAGACAGAGGTGTGTGCACACCTGTGCAGAAAGGGTAGTGAGGTGGGACTCCAGCACCTCAGGTAGGGGGCCTCAGTGGGTGAGCAGCAAAAGGTGAGGTGGGGTTTCTGGGCAGATGCCAGCCTAAGTCCCTGAGCTTCCTGAGAGTAAGGTGGACAGAGCCAAATGACCTCATCCGCTTTTCCTCTTTGTCAGAGCAGCAGCCTGCTTGTCTACCTCCAGGCCAAACCTGCCTGGAGCTGTTAGGGGAGAGGATATCTGTCTGTATCCAGCTGCAGCAGCAGTCAGAAGGGAAGCGGCACAGGAGAGGACAGGAAAGGGACAGTTCCTGAGGTTGGGAGCTGGGCTGTGCTAGCCAAACCATGGCTTCCACACCAGTCATCTGTGACCCAGACATGGAAAGCCATGGAGAAAGGTGTGGCCAAGCCCCTGCCGTCCAATCTGAGGCTTCTCTGGTTGGCTCTATGAAGAAGACAGACTCTTTCTCTTCAGGAAGTTTGTCCGGCTAGTGAGGGATCATGGGGGGTTCTGCAGGACTGAGCCCACTGGCAGTGGATGGGGGTTCATGCTGCAGGGTGACGCTGCCCCAGCGCAGGATTCCAGAGCTCTCTAGCTCTTCTGGTTTGTATTGGTTTTTCTGCCTTGTCAAAGTGCCCTTTAACCTCTCCTTCAAAGTGTCAGGATCCCTAAAATAGCAGTGTAGACTCAGACAGGAAATGAGAAGGGGGTGGGGAGCTGGAGAGCAGACAGACAGGAAATGGGAGGCCTGTCGGCCCCCAGAGAGGAAGCTCACTTCAGGCGGCTCCAGTGTCAGCTTCAGCTGAAGCTTGCTGCCAAATCAGCCAAGCCTGGTGCTCCAGGTCCAGCCTCTCTCAGCTCTGGGTGTGGCTGCCCAGCATGGAGCTGGTATCCAGCTGTGGGGTAAAAGCCCTGCAGGGCAGATGGATACAGCTGCTTTATGTGGTCCCATGGACATTCCAGAGTGAATAGAGCACTCAGGAGAACAGTGGGTACAGTGGACCGAACTTGTCATACAACAGTCCCAACAACTCTGAGGGAATTGGCTCTTCACTTTTTTGTTTGTTTGTTTGTTTGTTTTTCAAGACAGGGTTTCTCTGTGTAGCTTTGCGCCTTTTCCTGGAACTCACTTGGTAGCCCAGGCTGGCCTCGAACTCACAGAGATCCACCTGGCTCTGCCTCCCAAGTGCTGGGATTAAAGGCGTGCGCCACCACCGCCCGGCAGGCTCTTCACTTTTATTCCAGAGATAGCACGGTCCAAAAGGAAAGCCAAAATGCCCCAGGTCGTTGTCCTTCTGTCCGCCCACCTGCTGCCTTCCTTCCCACGTTCTCATGTGACTGTGGGAGTCATGACATACTGGAGTTTGAGTTCCTAAGTGTCCTCGACCTTTTTCGGTTTGCCAGACTCACTCCAGTTGAACACAGAACTCACACAACAATCTTTGCTCATTGCTTCTCAAGACTGAACTCAGTGGAGAGCCCCTTGGCCCAGTAAGGATCTCTGACTGAGATTTATGGCATAGGGGACTTGCTGGCTTTTTCAGACACAGCTCTCTGAGTGGCAAATGCTCTGGATGCCTCCTCAATTCTTCCAGCACACAGTGGGAAAGGGCTTCGTGCCTAGCATTGTATCAGATCAAAGGGATACAGGAAATAATTGGGTTATAGCCTTGGCCCACTAGGAGAGACTGGCTGGAATCTTGTTGGCTGAAGCTCATCTGTGATAAGGCAAGTGGTGTTGGAAATACTTTCCCTATCTCTGGCTCCCCTGCCTGTGGGAGGTCCAGGCTCCTGACAAGATCACAAATCGATGTTGTAGATGTTGGTTTTCAGGATTTTCTCAGCCTGACACTAGGTTCCAGTAGGATACAGGAGCACACATTTGTTGCTAGATTGCTGGGTCAGAGCCCTCCACTAAACCAAACCAGTTTACAGACTCCATCCACTGTTTCCTGTGTCTGCAGGTGGGTGAGGGAGTTTCTCAATGATGAAAACAGAGGCCTGGATGTGCTGGTGGATTACTTGTCATTTGCCCAGTGTTCTGTCATGTGAGTACCACAAGGGCTAAGGTTGGGGACCCACTGGGAAGGAAGCACATAGTCCAGTCTATTTAGAACGGTGAGGGCTGGGGATGCAGAGCAGCGGAACCATGCCTGCCATGTGCTAAGGCTGAGGGCTCAGTCTCCAGCATGGGAGGAGATGGGGGAGGAGGAGAAGGAAGGGTGAGATCCCAGCAGAGAAGATGGGAATGGGCAACTCAAGACAGGAGGAAGTAGCCCAGGTATTTGTGTGGAAGTGAGCAAGGCAAGACAAGGGACGATCAGGAACCAGCAAGGGGCGGCCTGTTAGCTGGAGTGGAAGGCATGTTCTGGGGGAGCATGATGAGAACAGTATGGAAAGGGAGCTTGGAATCAAAACCCAAATGACCTAAGTGTCAAACTACAGGCTAAGAAAACATTTCCTGGCTCCTCAGGGAAATACCTTGGTAGGGTTTATCCATTTCTACAAAATTGAGTATTCATGAGGCACTGAGATGTGAGAGGGTTACTACAGGCCTGTTGTTGAAGAAGTGCAGTGAGCATGACCTTTGACCTGAGCAGATAGATGAAGCATTTGGGAGCATTTTCCAATACCCTTTTCACGTGGAGGCAGTTAGTGGTGGGTTGGCACAGGAGCGATGGCATGGCGAGGCGCGTGAATGCGGGCTTGTGAGTCACACAAAGGTGGGTTTGGGTCTTAGTTGTGTTGTGCGCTATCTGAGGAACCTGGAGCAGCCTTGTCCTCCTCACTGAAGGGATTAGATGAGAAGGTGTGTCTCACACCTAGCATTTGGAACATAGGCCTCCTCTGTGGTGACTGCTCTGTTGTTAATTTATTACCTGGGTGATATGCCTGCCTGTAATTTCCAGATGTATGGAAAGAAGGCTGCCTGTGATGGTAAATGACATCACCAACATGTGCGGTCTTACACCTAGACAATCAGCCTAGGGAGGTTGGGTCTCGGTTTTGCTCTCAACTTCCCATGGCGCCCTCATATTGAATGTTCCTAGTCTGGAGAAGCCCGGGCTCGAGCCTTGGACCTTGCCTAGACTTTAGCTTTTCTGCTGTCCCTGCCCTTATGCCCAGTGTGTCTCCTCAAGGGTGCACACGGAAGCCTCTCCCAGATGCTGCTTCCCTGTAACCCTTCCTAGGTCATCTTCTTTAACTTAGAGTAGACCACTCTCCATCCAGATCTCTGCAGAACTCATACCTCATGATCCTCCTGTCCCTTTAAATAATCTTTTTATAGAAAGAAATGGAAAAAACAATTTGCTTAAGTGAATTTTTAGTTCAGAACTTTTACAGTAAAAAGATGTAGATATTTCCCCAAATATGCCTGTCCTTCTTGAAAAGCAAACAAACCCCAGTTGCTCTCAACCAAGAATACACCAGACGTTTAATGCTTTGGTGTCTAGGGCAGTGCCTTTGAGTGCAGTGAGTCCAGGGAGTGAGAGAGAATACGTTTTGGGAAGCCTTGAGAGGAAAGAGGTGCGTCCGCTAGGTTGAGAGAAGGTGTGCATGTGTAAATGACACATCCCATGCCTAGGAGTGCCATGGTTGATGGGTGGACATCACCCCTGTCAGAACTCGGAACCTGACCGGATTGCCTGTTAACTTCCTCCTGAAGTCAGGACTCTGATGACTACTGCAGCCTCCTCTGGAGCTTCCAGCACCTGTGGTGTGCCTTGTTCCAGAAAGCCCCGGCCTTTGACACTGGGCATTCATGTGGAGCCAGATGGCCTGTGGGAAAAAGCCTTTGGGAGATATGCCCCAGTTCTTAGTGGCTACAGGGGCACAGGGGAGGAGGGATGGGCGAAACTGCTTCTCAGGGTGTGTACTCTGTGAAGAAATATAAGGGACGGCCCGGGTGGTGTGGAATCTCGGTCATCCTCTTTGCCCTGAGCACAACTCTTAAGGTAAGGAACACGTAACAGGAAGTAGCCCAAATGACACTGACTTCTCCAGCAGCTGGAATGCCCCATCAGCCTCAGCCTATGGTTTTCTTTCGTCTAGGGAAGCTGAAGCTAGGGAGGAAAACACAGAAGCCTCCTGTAGTCAATCACAGAAAAAAAGGCCTAGAGTGTAGCTCACTGGGACCTCCTGTTAGCATACTAGCCTAGCAGGATTAGCTCTTCCTCGGCACTAAAAAGCCAAACAGAGACAGTCCACAGAAGCCAGTGGTAGGATGGGACAGTGATGTACTTCCTAAGCTTCAAGGACCAACTTTGGATTTTCAGGAACCCCATTGTTTTCCTTCCAGGCCTATCCAATTCTTGATGACCTAGCTACTTAGGTGCTCTGAGTACTTAGTCCACTGCCGTTGTCCAGTGAGCGAGACCTGCAGCTGGTCCATCCCTCTGCTTTCTGGAGTATAGATTTGTTTAAGTAGAGCTGTGGTGACTCGAGATGTCCCGTTTGAAGCTAGGAGCACAGGAAGCCAGCCAGCCCCCGCAGTCCTTGGGCCACAGAGAAACCTTCAGCTCTCCCCTCCCAGAGCCGTTTGAGCCTCCTCTGCCCTGTCTGACGTCAATAGCTGCAACCAGGATTAGGTCTCTGATGCCTAATTCTGTTTTCTGTCCTTGCTGCCCTTGCTTTGTGTTGCCATAGAGGCCTGAAGAGTGGGAGGTGGGCTTGCTGGGGGCTTGGCACAGAGTTCCTCTTGTGTATGTGCCTGCGTGTGCGCATGTGTGCCCTTCCATGCTCCAGGTTTGACTTTGAGGGTCTGGAGAGTGGCGATGATGGTGCATTTGACAAGCTCCGGTCCTGGAGCAGGTCAATCGAGGACCTGCAGCCGCCCAGCGCCCTGTCGGCCCCCTTCACCAACAGCCTCGCTCGCTCTGCGCGCCAGTCCGTGCTCCGGTATGTGTGCGCTTACTCTGCCTCCCTGCCCCCCGCCCCCCCAGCCCCGTCCAGGTCTTGGGAAGCCGGTGAGTGCTCATGCCCCTCCTTCACTCTTGCTTCCAGGCTCAGCTCTCTTGCCCTCTGCCTGCTCGCCTGTCTCTCATCTTCTCTCTGTCTCCCTGACTCTGCCCAGCAGTCTGTCCTGGGTAAGTACACGGTCCTCAGCTGTGCCACCCCACCTGGAGTTCCAGCTCTCCTTTCCTCACTCTGGAGCCATTCCTTTCCGACCTTGGGTAGGGCTTGGGCTTTGCTGGCTGATTCGCCTCCTGCCCTCGTGAACTCTTCCCGTCAGTGGCTTGAAGACGAGCCCCACCTGCCTGCTGCTCCTTCCTTTCCCTTCAGGTCTTTCCTAAGTCACGCTTTCATTTGTCTCTGGGTTCTCAAGAGCAGTCCCATTGGTGAACTGGATCCTCCTCGGAGCCTTTTACCAAGAGGCTGTCCTTGCACACCCATAGCTTTTTCCTTTGGCCTGTCTCCTCCACGGCTCTGCTGCTTTCTCTCCTTGGGTTTTGTGTCTTGGACACTGCTCACCACTCTGGTCTTGCAGGAACAGATTCCATGTGTGTTTCCTCTTCTCACAAAACATTAAGACAGTGGAGGGTTGATACAAAGCCAGGCATAGCCCTAGCCTTCGTAAGGCCTGTAGGGGTCTGCTCTGCCTTTGGGGGCTTTAGAATGAGGGGAGAGCAGAGATGCACCTGTCCCCCTGAATGTGCCAAGATGTGGTAACTCACAGTGAGAGCTGGGAAGTCTCAGATATGTGTCTTTGTGATCCATCCCAAGAACCACAAAGTCCTCGAAACAGTCTTGTATTTCCGAGGGTGCCTGGGGTTAGCATGTTTGACAGAGTATAAAGCTAGGGTCCTGGGGAGTTGCTGACAAAGGCCTGTCCCACGGAGGTGAATAGAAGCTGACTCCCCTGCCTCCTGCACCCTGGCTGTCTTAGCCGTTGGTACAAGGTCCTCTTTCCCCCATTTCTTCTGCTTCAAGGGCAGCCTAGTGTCTAGAGCCTTCACCAGCAGTCTTGTCTCCAGCCTGATCACGTGGCACTTTTCCCCAGGTACAGTACTCTTCCTGGCCGCAGGGCCCTGAAGAACTCCCGCCTGGTGAGCCAGAAGGATGATGTCCACGTCTGTATCCTCTGTCTCAGAGCCATCATGAACTATCAGGTAGGGGATGATGCTCACCATGGATGCACTACTCCTTCTGCCTCATATGTTAAACCGAGACAGCTGAGCACCAGCCTGTGAAAGATTTGCTAGCGGGGGACCTGCTGGCTTCCCCTTTCCCACCGTCAAGGGCCTCTCCTCTCCTTTCCTTTGCAGTATGGCTTCAACTTGGTCATGTCCCACCCCCATGCTGTCAATGAGATTGCACTTAGCCTCAACAACAAGAATCCAAGGTGCGTTCCTTCCTTCCTCATTGTGCCCAGATAGCTGAAGATCCTGACTTACCTTTGACAAGTCCTACCCGCTTTGGGGTCTGTCAGTCAGGGTCTCCTCTGCTGGAGAAGTGTCTAAAGACATGAACTGTGGTGGCTTGGATGGGACTGAGGATGTTAATCTTCCTTCATCCTTAGGACCAAAGCCCTGGTCTTGGAGCTGCTGGCAGCTGTGTGTTTGGTGCGGGGAGGACATGAAATCATCCTTGCTGCCTTTGACAATTTTAAAGAGGTTAGTCTTCTGCATGTTCTCTGCCGCCCCCCGGGTCCCGTCCCCCCCCCCCTCCCCCCGTGTGTGTGTGTTAGAGGAAAATGTGAGGATCCCATTTACTGGGGTCTCTAGTGATTTTAAAACAACTGCTTGACTGAGCAGCCTGCTTCAGAGTGAGAGCAGAACTAAAGAAAGAAAAGCAGAGCTTAGGTCTCTAGATCTTGTTCCATGACACCTCCCAGTTGGCCAGTTAATGATGCTCTGGGATAGACTGCAGTGTCTAACCTGATACTGTCAGAATCACCAAAGGAGCTTATTGAAAATGCAGACTGGGACTGGAGAGATGGCTCAGTAGTTAGAGCCTTTGCTGACTTGGAGAGGCCCTGGATTCAGTTTCCAGGGGCTCACAACTAACTGCCTCTAGTTCGAGTTCCAGAGGATCTGGTGCCCCCTTCTGGCCTCCACAGGCACAGTACACACATGCATATACACTGATGTAGGCAAAACACACACGTTTTTCTTGTTTTAGGCACGGGCTCTACTCCTGACCCACTGGAGGGAGCCTGGGCATCATCTTCACTTTATTAGACCCCCCGGGTGGTTCTGCCGCAGCTAGCCCACAGGTGGAATCCAAAGCAAGTCTGTTCTCAGGGAAGGAGAAGGCGATTAGTTAAGGAAGAGAGAACTGGGTGTGGAATTTTCCCATCCTGAGGTCTACCTCTGAAACCCCAGTTTGCTTGAACATGGGATTCCTCAACATCCAGCCACAGCTGTGGGCCCACCCCTTCCTCCTCTCCGGGCCTCTTCCCTCGCATCCATTGTTTGGTTCAGGAAACAGCTCTTCCTCCTTAAAGTTCAGAAACTCAAAGGAGCCCGGGACCCTTTTCAGCAGAGGGCTTTGCTGCATACTGACACCTCCTCCGTGTTCCCCTGGGGCCCAGCCTCCTGCCACAGCCATGGCTCAGCTCCTGTCCTCCTCCTTGTCCTCCTCCTGTAACGTGACAGCTTCAGATCTGCTGTGTGTCTTTCTGGACTACTTTAGAGACACCAAAATCCTAGGCTGTACTGGATTCCCTCTGTGGTGGAGGGTCACAGACCCGGGGCCAGATTCCAGGTCCTGGGTTTTCTTCTGGTGTCCAAACTGGCACAGTCCCTGCATAGAGTTAGGGTTAATTTGTTTTTGTTTTATTTATTTACACATATATTTGGATTTCTTTTGTCTGTTTGTTTGGTTTTTGTTTTTTTAAGACAGATTTTTACTTTACAGCCCAAGCTGGCTTCAGACTTGGGCAGTCCTCCTGCTTCGGCCTCCTGAAGGCTAGCTAGGAAGTCAGGTGCCAGCCACCATGCCGCACCAAGTTGTGGCTAACCCCGGACTGAACCGTGCCTTTGCCTCCGTGTTCCTGGGAACCGGAGGCTGGGGCCTTAGGTTCTGCAGGGTACAGACCCTTCCCCTGAGGAGTGTTTGCGCCTTCAGGTGTGTAAAGAACTGCATCGGTTTGAGAAGCTAATGGAGTATTTCCGGAATGAGGACAGCAACATTGACTTCATGGTGAGGACCTGGGACAGGTGCATGCCATGCCCATTGAGGCTTTGTGCTGCTGAAGCCAGGCCACACTCACAGTGTGTTCTGAGAGTCCGCCTCTCACCCCGCGCCCCCCACCAGGTGGCCTGCATGCAGTTCATCAACATTGTGGTGCACTCAGTGGAGGACATGAACTTCCGGGTCCACCTGCAATATGAGTTTACCAAGTTGGGGCTGGAGGAATTCCTGCAGGTAAACTGGTGAGGGTCTTGAAAAGGTGAAGTGTTGTAGGGTAGAGGATCAGCCTAGACACAGCACAGAGGGCCTAGATGGTTCTGGAACCTGCCTGTGTCCTTTGGACTGAGACGGAGGCTCTTCTGCCAGTGTCCATCTTCCCAATGAAGCAGCTCTATCAGGGCCAGCCAGGCATGGGTGGGGCTGGAAGACCCTGGCTACATGCTCTCGGAGGTAGTTAGGAAGCAGTGATGCTTCCTCTCAGATCTACACTGACTCCCGCACTTCTTTCCTTAGAAGTCAAGGCACACGGAGAGCGAGAAGCTGCAGGTGCAGATCCAGGCATACCTGGACAATGTGTTCGATGTGGGGGGGTTGTTGGAAGATGCTGAAACCAAGAATGTAGCCCTGGAAAAGGTGGAAGAGCTGGAAGAGCACGTGTCCCACGTAGGTATCCTTGGCTTGTCAGGAGCCACTGTGGAAGGCTGGGAGAATGGGCACAACTGGGTTCCAGGAACCCTGAGCTGACCTGCCTGCCTCCAGATTGAGCCACAGGAAGGCTCTTGAACCACTGAGTCTCTCTAGACCCCACTGGAAGGTGCTGACCTCTGTGGCTGGGTATAAGATGGCCTTAAACTGGGGACGGACTGTTACTGTTCACCTTGTACCTGTTGCTGTTTCATAGTATCAGGACTCCTGGCCCCTGAGAGTCATGTAGGGAAGCCACTTGAACAGACTGCCTTTGGGGCACTGCTTTTCAGGTCCTGGTTTGGCTTCAAGTTATGCTGAGTGTTCAGGCTCGAACACAGCCTTGAACAGGCCTTCTCCATTCTGTAGCTCACAGAGAAGCTGCTGGACCTGGAGAATGAGAATATGATGCGGGTGGCGGAACTGGAGAAGCAGCTGCTGCAGCGGGAAAAGGAGCTGGAGAGCATCAAGGTGCCAGTGGGGGGACAGGGGGGGGGCTGCCGCTGACCCGGGGCCCAGTCCACAGGGCTTTCCCCTTCTAACCAAATCATGTCAAGGGAAGAAACTGATCTATCCTCAAGGCACTCAGGCAAGGGTGGACGGTGATCTTGAGCTCCTCCCTTTTCTATCTGGAGAGAGGTTGAAGCTAGAGCTTGCCAGACTCAGAAGAGAGGAAGCAGCCATCTTCTTCCTGCCCACTTGCTGGCTTTTTCTCCAAATGCACCTTAGCTCTGCTTACTGAGCATGCTCAAAGTAGCCCAGGTCTATTTATTAGACTGTCTACAGGCGTCCTCTGAAGGGCAGGACTTCTTGTGTTCTTGCACCTAACTTTATAATTTAATTACAAAGCCGTGCTACAACCTCCTTTTTCTTGCAGAAGAATATGATTATGTTGGCTACTGAGCTCAGCTCAGTGTGTATCTGCTCTTCCCTGCTAAGTACTATACAAGGAGCTAGGGGGATACAGAGCTCACCAAGACAAGGCTTATCGGTGAGGCTTCCATCTGAGCAGTTATCCACAGACAATAATGGAGGTCTGTGGAGAGAGCAGCTGTGCCCATCTGGCAGGGGACCAATGGGAGTTTCAAATGAGGGGCATCCTTTTCCTCAGCCTTGAGGGCTCCCTGCAGTGAGAACAGGCTTGAGCAGAGTGAAGGACCTATCAGGATACCTGTGGAAGCAAGCTGACTCTTCCCCCACTTGTGCCCACTACACCTCAGCTTTGCTCTCCTCTGACCGGAATTTCTTGTGTGTTGAGCACCCTCTCACTGAGATGACCCCAGCTCCTTGAGAATCTGTCTAGTGGGTAGGACTCCTGCCTCCCAGGGGAAGTGATTGTTAACCCTCAGCCCATTCTTCCTCAACGTTGCTGTCTGCTTGATAGGAGACGTACGAGAACACAAACCACCAGGTGCGCACTCTTCGGAGGCTCATTAAAGAGAAGGAGGAGGCCTTCCAACGCCGACGCCACCTGGAGCCAAGTGCCCGGGGCCTGGAGTCCGTAGGTGGTAGCGAGGCCCTAGCCAGGATAGGCCCTACAGAGTTGGGGGAGGGCATGCCACCCTCTGACCTGGACCTGCTGGCTCCAGCCCCACCTGCTGAGGAGGCCCTTCCTCTGCCCCCTCCACCGGCTCCGCCTTTGCCCCCACCCCCTCCGCCACTACCAGGTAACTGAGACTTCCAAGCTGGGAGGGGCAGGTTTTTTGTGAGGCCAAGACCCTAGTCTCGGGGAGCAGCTAGGAAATTGCATCATTTGAGGGCTGGGGGGATATCAAGTCAGGATGAGAGGGCTAAGGGAGGACCAGAATTTGGGGAATCAGATGAAGGAATGTTGGAAGCAGGTTTTGTCAAGGATCTCTGGGTGCTGCTCTGAATTACCCTGAAGGCAGCCAGGCAGAGGGCTACGCTGTGACAGAATAAACCCCGTCAGTGATGCTAGTCACTGTCCCCTTCAGCAGCCTGGATTAGCTTGATCAGACTCTCCACAGCATCCTCTCTGGGTCTCTAAGGACAGGTGATACAGGCAGAGCTTGAGCAGCCTGGAAGGAGTCTTGGGACCTCTGGGTCACTGTGGCATGTTTTCTTCCCCAGACAAGTGTCCCCCTGCCCCTCCTCTCCCTGGCGCTGCTCCTTCTGTGGTGTTAACAGTGGGCCTGTCAGGTGAGTGTCCTCAGGGATCTGGGCAAGGCTGGTGGGGTTTTCCTTGGCCCTTGCCTTACACCCAGCCTCCTTCCAAAACTAGCCATTCGAATCAAGAAACCTATCAAGACCAAGTTCCGGCTGCCAGTCTTCAACTGGACAGCACTGAAACCCAATCAGATCAATGGCACTGTCTTCAGTGAACTTGATGATGAGAAGATCTTGGAGGTGACAGGGTTCTAGGGTCCAGAAGGGTGGGGTTGGGGGTTGAGGACCAAGATGCCCTTACAGCTAGATCTGGTCTTGGAAGAGCTTTTGCAGAACAGAACTGATGTTATATCAGCTTTAGGGACCATGATTGGGTCCTTGCAGGGCATGTGGCAGCAGGTGTTGTCATAGTGTGAGCCTTCAACATCGTCCCTTCTTATCTGCTTCTGTCAGGACTTAGACCTGGACAAGTTTGAAGAGTTATTTAAGACAAAAGCTCAGGGTCCTGCCCTTGACCTCATCTGCTCCAAGAATAAGACAGCACAAAAGGCTGCCAGCAAGGTGACCCTTTTGGAAGCCAATCGTGCCAAGAACCTGGCTATCACCCTTCGCAAGGCTGGGCGCTCTGCTGAGGAGATCTGCAGGGCCATCCACACGTGAGGCTCCCACTAACTTGGTCCTGGTCCCCAGACAGCTATTCTCCCAATTCTCCCCACAGCAGTGGGTTCTCTTAGACTCCAGGGCTCCTGACAGGACTTGCTCACACTTCTCAGTCATCCACTGGCCCAAACAGCGTATCGACTCCATGCTTGGTGTTAGACACAGTGAGAGGAGCTGCACATTCAGCCCAGAAGGAAGAAGTGTGGTAGGAAGAGTGTAGACGGGGTACCGCCATGTTAGCAGAGCACAGACAGGAGAGCCAGGTGGCTGAGCACTGTAAGGGAAGACGTCCCAAGCAGGGTCTTAACTAAGACTGAAGGAATTGCACAAGTTGGTCCAAGTCAGGACCTGGAGGAAGCAGCGTGGTATACTGAGTACTGAAACTGAAATCTGCCTTTAGTGTTTAGGCCAGACAGGGTAGAAAGTGGGCAGAGGTCTTGCAGGCCACATTCCAGTTGCTTCAACTTTACCATAGCTGCAGAGGGAAGACATTGAAGGACTTAACAGGAGCAAGGGGGTCAGGCATCGTCTATGTGTCTGTAGTCCTAGCACTTTCGTAGCAGAGGTAGGAGACTCACAAGTTTGAGACTGCCCTGGACTACATAGCAAGATCCTGTCTGAAACAAACACGGATATTCCCCTAGGAGTACTGTTAACATGATGACAGATGAAGCAGTGTGCTCTGCCTCGGGCTGAACCAGTGTGTCGGGTGAGGGAAGATGTGGACAGATGTCAGACCTAAACTGCTGCTCTTCCTGCACAGGTTTGACTTACAGACACTACCTGTGGACTTCGTGGAGTGCCTGATGCGCTTCCTGCCCACAGAGGCCGAGGTGAAGCTGCTGCGGCAGTATGAGCGTGAACGGCAGCCCCTGGAGGAGCTGGCCGCTGAGGACCGCTTCATGTTGCTCTTCAGCAAGGTGGAGCGGCTGACCCAGCGAATGGCTGGCATGGCCTTCCTGGGCAACTTCCAGGACAACCTGCAGATGCTCACACCGGTACAGCCTCTTCCCTGATCACCCTGTACTGCTGTCACTAGTCATGGCTGCGGTCCATTCTTCCGGCCCTACCCCTTGACGCCATCCTTCTCCCACCCTGGGTGACTCGGTGTTCCTCCTGTTTTCCAGCAACTGAACGCCATCATCGCAGCCTCTGCCTCCGTCAAGTCCTCACAGAAGCTGAAGCAGATGCTGGAGGTTGGGAAAGGGGGTGACTGGGGTGCTGGTGGTCCCCAGTACTACTAGACAGAGGAGGAAGTCCTTGGGGCCTCTCGTGACCTGCCTTCTGTGCATCTTTGAACAGATCATACTTGCATTGGGGAACTACATGAACAGCAGCAAGCGAGGTGCTGTGTATGGCTTCAAGCTGCAGAGCCTGGATCTGGTAAGGTGGCAGGGGGATGGCAGGGGCATCGTGTGCAGGGCCTGGAACACCGTGGTTAGAGCCAGGGTGCTTAGCTCTCTGTTGCCGCCCCTGCCTTCCAGCTGCTGGACACCAAGTCCACCGACCGCAAGATGACACTGCTGCACTTCATCGCCCTGACGGTGAGGGAGAAGTACCCAGACCTGGCTACCTTCTGGCAGGAGCTGCACTTCGTGGAGAAGGCTGCAGCAGGTGAGCGGCTCCCTGCCTGCCTCCAGCCCGGGGCAGTCTCCGGAAGCGGAGCAGGAGGAACACCTGGGCCCACTTCTGGCTCTTCTTCCTTACTACTTCATACTTTCCTCTAAAGCCGTGAGCAGGGGCCACTCCAGAGGGAGCCCTCCTCTGAGCTCAAGTGGGATCAGGCTTCCCTTAGGCTGGCCCGGAGATTGCATTTCTCTACCGTTTATACGATGTGGTTAGAAAACCTACACAGCCCCTACACGCATGCAGTACTGCTGTTTCTGCCCTGCCCATGAAAAACCACAGCGGGCCCAAGGTAGCTCCCGCCTGGAGACCAGCAGTCTCAGTGGTTTGTCTTCCTTTGCTACCTTGTTCTTTGGGGTCATGAACTCTGACCCTCTACTCCTTCCCACTGCTGAGAGCTTAGTCTGCTTGACGTGGACTTATCTACGTGAATGTCATTGGATGTCTATGTCATAGTCCTGAGCAAGCCTCTTGGTAAATAGTGTCCCTGGAGAACGTGCTGCTGGATGTGAAAGAACTGGGCCGGGGCATGGAGCTGATTCGACGGGAATGCAGCATTCACGACAACAGCGTCCTTCGGAACTTCCTCAGTACCAATGAAGGCAAGCTGGACAAGCTCCAGCGTGATGCCAAGACCGCTGAGGTGAGCCAGGATTTGGAGTAGGCAACAAACATCGAGAACAGCACTCTGCACCTGTGGGTCGTGACCCCTTACCCCGCATGTCAGATATTTACATTATGATTCATAACAGTAGCAAAATTATGGTTATGAATTGGCAACGAAAGTAATTGTATGGTTGGGGATGACCACACCATGAGGAACTGTACTAAAGTGTCGTAGCATTAGGAAGGTTGAGAACCCCTGGGCTAGAGCCAAGACACTAGGCAACTTTGTGGCAGCATCCAGCTGCAGTTCTGTGGGGCAGCTGGCCAGCTGTTAGGGAGCATGACGTGGGCGTAACAAAGGACTTTAAAGACGGCAAACGTCCATCCATGTCTGGAGTTAGGACTCTTGGGAACCTTGGGGACACCCACATTCTCTCTGGCTCACAGGGGCTTGGGGAGTTGGTTTTCCTCCCTTCGGCCCTAGGCTTTGCCTTTTGCGGGCCTTCTGTTCATGTGTGCATGCTGGGCTGCTCGCCCCCAGGATGACCCTTCTGTCTGCCCCTTCTTTACCCAGGAGGCCTACAACGCAGTTGTGCGCTACTTTGGCGAGAGTCCCAAGACCACACCTCCTTCTGTGTTTTTCCCAGTATTTGTCCGATTCATTCGTTCTTACAAGGTAAGTTGAAAAGTTTCTGGAGGAGTTTGGCTGAGAGAAAATGATTAGTTGGGAGAGCGCCTGTGCTTCAAGTCCGAGTCTTTTTCCAGTTCCTGAGGCCTAAGAAAGGAACCATGCAAGCTGGTGACAGGCCTCTTAACCATGAACTGGTGGGCAGGGTGGGGGCCCAGCCCCTTCCTTTCATTGTTTGGAGCAGGAAGTACCCCTCCGGAGGGTGGCCACCTGGGGTGAGCTGGTCCCTCTGCCACCCACTCTTCATGCTCAGTGTCAGCCCCTCCTTTCCCAGCCTGTGAGAGCCTCTCGCTCCCCCTCTCTTGGTTCTCTCTAAGGAAGCAGAACAAGAGAATGAAGCTCGCAAGAAACAAGAGGAGGTGATGCGGGAGAAGCAGCTGGCTCAGGAAGCCAAGAAGCTGGATGCCAAGGTGGGTGGGACCAAGGGCTGGTCTGGAGGGCAGGACAAAAAACTGAGGATGCAGGGAGCGGGGAGCCAGAAGGACATGGAAAACCAAGACACACCCACTCACACTCCCTCCCTTGGAGTGCCTGAAGGAGGAGTCCAGAGGGAGGGCAGACCCTGACGGACAGGACATAGGGTTTCTCTCGGTAGGGCCTCTTCAGACTGCATCTCAGGACAGGAACCAGTTGCTTGTCAGGTTAATGACGACTTCCTTCCCCTTCTAATATTTGGCCCTAGACTCCATCCCAGAGAAACAAGTGGCAACAGCAGGAGCTGATTGCAGAACTGAGGCGGCGCCAAGCTAAGGAACACCGACCTGTTTACGAGGGGAAGGATGGTACCATTGAGGACATCATCACAGGTGGGACCTTTGTCCATTGGGCCCAATTCCCAAAGCCTGAGCTCACCCCCTTTGGTCCTTCTCCCTAGTCTGTTTCCCTATAAAACCTGACCACGATCTCTCCTGGGCCATAGTGTTGAAGAGTGTTCCTTTCACGGCCCGCACTGCCAAGCGGGGCTCACGCTTCTTCTGTGATGCAGCCCACCACGATGAGTCAAACTGTTAGCCCTCAAGGCTGGGGCCCCTGACAGGTACTGGGCACCATGGCTGCACTCTCTGCATGCCTTAGAAGCATCTGGTAGCAGCCTGCCAGGGATGGAGACACACTTCTTGCATGCTGCATGCTCTGAGAAACAATTTATCCCCTGCATGTTTCCTCCCACTAATTCCGCCCTAGCTACTAGACCCAAGGGCTAAGGAGTCTCTGGCCAGAGTTGGAGCTATGCCAGAAAGGTTGTGGTTCCTGGGGTCCCATTCCTGGGGTATCCAGGATCCTGGCCTCCCTTAAGAGCTCTGGCAGTAGCTGCTACTCAGGGACACATGTCCCATGACCTCTGCTTCTTGACATCTGGTTGGCTTGTGGTCTTCTCCTGAGTGGCCTTCAGATCCTATGTCATCCTCTGAAAACAACCAGCAGCTTCTGTAGCTGGTCCTCCCTGATCCTCTTCATGGCTGACTCCTTCTTCCCTGTCCTCCAGAAGGTATTGTCCTGCTCAGTCTCCCTGCCTGTTCACATGCATATGTCTTTCCCACAGGCTTCAACCACCAGCCCACGGTCATTCGCAACCAAGCCAGGAGTGTTGTACCACCCAGTGGCCCTCCTCGGGCTCCAGGTCCCCACTGAGACCCTCGTGGAGGCAGAAGTACTTTAATTCTGAGTCCTGCAAGTCTGGACAGTGGACCTGGGGCCCAGCAGAAGGCTGTGCTGTTCCCGCCACAGCCACTCTGGCTCTGAGGCTGGATCTTCCCTGTGCCACTGTGGGTACTAGGGCTGTAGGGACCTGGCACTTCCCTAGTGCCTCCCATAATGCACCTTGCCCCCACCATCTTCAACTTCAATCAGGGCTGGGAAAAACCACTTCCAGCTTTGGCTCGTGAGGGCAGATGGCCCCTCTTCCACTAGAGTCTAATGGGATGAAAAAGGAGGATGCTGTACTCTCTCTATATATTTTTTTCTTTTTGCAGTCCCATAGTCAGCTCTGGTCTAGAAGTATCCAGGCTTATGGATCCCTGGACTCTGCCAATATCAGATCATCTCACAGAGTAAAGCCCTTCTTTACCTGGGCTCACTCTGCTAAGCCCTAGTAAAAAAGGGTAGAGGAGCAATGTCAGGATGTCAGGCCCACTGCCTTCTTGCACATTCTACCTGAGGCATGTTTTTTGTCCTGCCCTCCAGACCCTTGGTCCCACCCACCTTGGCATCCAGCATCTTGGCTTCCTGAGCCAGCTGCTTCTCCTGCATTACCTCCTGCTTCTTCCGGGAGCTTCTTGCTCCACTTCCTCAAAACCAAAGGATTGTGGGGGAAGACTTGAGGCTTTCAAAGATGGAAAGGGAGGGGCTGACACTGAGTATGGAGAACGGGGCAGTGGGACCAGCTCACCCCAGGTGGCCACTCTCTGGAAGGGTACTTCCTGCTCCAAACAATGATAGGAAGGGCCTGGACCCCACCCTGCTCACTGTCTTCCCACTGAATGAAGAACAGAATACTGTCTGCACCAGCTCCAAGACTGCTAGAGGAAGGATGTACCATCGTCTCACCTTTCCTCAGCTAGGTGGATTCTGGCCGGGAGCAGGCAACATAGAGGACCGTCATAGACTATTTGCTCAGTTCCCTGTTAGGGTCTCTGACCCTGAAGGGAGTTTGGGGGCACTCTGTCTTTGTACATGTACCATTTCCTTTCTCTTGTACATAAACCCCACACCCTTCAACAAAGTCTTGTGCACCAGGCTGTCTTCTCTTACCTGGTTTGGGGGGGGGGGGGCGCTCGGGTGGCCGTGAGAATGTGAGAGTGGGTGGGGGCTGTGTTTGGCTCCATCTCAGGAGTGATAGCCTAGAGGGCTGGGGAAGCCTGCCTGGGTGAGCTTCAACTCACAAAGATGTTAGAACAGTAGTGCCCTCTGCTGGCCTCCAGTGGTTAGCACATGAAGAGGACAAAGTAGTTGTAGATCATGTTATAAATATTATTTAAAAAACAAGAACAGAACACATACATCGGGTCCCGGGATAGAGGAAGCAGTGGTGGAGCCCCAGGCCAGGTCAGGCAAGAGCAGGCACTGATGCTAGAGGGTGAGGGCCCTGCCCTCTGCCGCCCAGGCTGTGTCCACCAGCCTGTCTCTCCCGGAAACCCCTTCTCGCACTTCTTAGCTACTGGCATCACCCACCCCATGTGATATAGACTGCCCATCTCTGGTCTGGGGCTAAGGGCAAGGACTGCACTAGTTTCTGAGAACTAGGGGACCCTTGAACACCAAGAGCAGCCTTGAGAGGTGCTAACAGTAGTGTGTTGGGGTGGGTAACTTTAGGGAAAGTGGACACAGACCAGACAGACGAGGAGTCTGAGGCAGATGGTGAGGATGGCCCCGGGGCCGCTGCCTCACTAAGTCCCAAGGCAGAAAGTAGCTCGTGGGGTCATTGGTGGTCATCCAGCTGCTGTAGGAGTGTCCGCCTCCGCCTCTCCAGCTCCCCCTCACTCAGCTCGCTTTCCGATGTGTCCCAGCCTGTCTGTTGAGCAAAGGTGTGGCTTACCTGAGCCCCCTGGACAGTGTGTCACAGGCTGGGGCGAAAGCCAGGTCCATCCATTCACCTTCTCCTTTTTGACTCCAAAGCCTGGAGAGCGGTTGGGGAGCTCCGCCTGCCGGAGCTCCCTGTCCTTGTCCTGCTCTTGTCCCCTGTCTTCACTCTCCTTGCCAGCTTTCTCTTCAGGGTCCGTCTCACTCTCAGGACTGTTCTGTAAGAGTTCAGAGCCCATCTGAGCGACGACTGAGCAGCACGGCTGGAAGGCAGATAAAATGGACTCCAGGACCTCAAGAGTTCTACTCACCGACTTGTGTCTTCTCTTCTTAGTTTTCTTTTTTGGTTTCTTGGCTTTCCGAAGACCATGATCTATAGATTTAAAAAAAATCCTTACTAAGTCTTATTGGGGGAAAGAGAAGGCTCATCCTCTTCCCTGCACATTCTTTCTAGACTCTGGCTCCTGGTCTGAAGAAGGCTGAATCTGGCCTCCCTTCTTCTATCCAGCTCCTTGCCTGGGCAGGGATGGGAAATCTCGCCCGTCGCTAGGCCCTCCCATCTTCCTAAGCCCTCCAGGGGTCTAGGACCAGCTGTGCCTCCACTGAGTCAGGACCACAGGCTCCCAGAAACCGCTTACCCGGCCCAAGGGGAAGGTGGGAGGATGGGGAGCCTGGTCCTCCAAGGGCAGCACCCCCACTTTCTACTGAATCAAGTGAGGATGAGGGTTCAGAGCCAGACTCTGAGGGGTTCCGCCTCCTCCGCTTGGGGGGCCGGAGGGATGGTGGGGGCAGTTCCTCTTCATCTGACTCAGAGCCCTGGACAGACAAGAGACACAGGTCAGCCCAGAGTTCTGTCCTTTAGAAGCTGAGAGCTGGGGACAGAGTCCAGAGCCAAGAAAGGAAACAGTCCAGCCTCACCCACGTCCCTCTACCTGCCGACTCACTGAGGGTGAGTGAGAACGCTTGCGATGGTGTTTCTTGCCCTTTCTGCCATGCTTTCGGCCTTTGGTGTGGAGGTGCTGGCATTCAGTCTGCTAGAGGCAGAGGGAGAGGTGAGAACCTCCCTTCCTGTCTCAGCGAGGCCTGCCTTTTCTAGGATACCCTCAGTCCCCTTCCTTGGCTGGCCAGGTACACAGATTAGGGTGGCCAAGTGCCTTACCTCCAGCACCTGCAGGAACTCTCGGAAGAGCCGGATCCGCTCCGACTCCAGGGTGATCTGCTCAAAGGCTGAGTCGCACACAAAGCGCTCACGGACCTTGAACGGGGAGAGCACTGCTGATCAGACCAGGCCCTGCCTGGCCCAGCTTGGACACGCCACGAGCACTGGGCAGGGCTGGGGCAGAGGAAGGAAGGGAACTGGAGCTGGCCCAGGGCTTGTGCTGTGACTGGGGTGGGCCCTCAGTGGTGGAGAAGCTCCGCTGCCCTCAGGCTTGAGGGTGATTGGGGCCAGGCTGTGCTCCTGACCTCTTCCCAGGCAGTGCCCAGCTCCAGGGCAGGCACGGCCTGCCTCAGCATGCTTCGAAAGGCAGCTTCTCGGCGCCGCATCCTTCGTGCCTCCTCCTTTTCCCGTTCCCTCTCCCGTGCCTCTGCTTTCTCCAGCAGCTGTGGGCAGAGGGAAACACAACAGGGTCAGGCGTACTGTAAGAGGTAGGAAGGTGGGATCTGGACTCTGGCCATCATTCCCCAAGCCCAAGATAATCAGCAGGGTAGTGAGAAGGAACAAGGCACTGGGATAAGTGAGAACCACCCTGCCCTGCCCATCCCCTCACACTATTGAAGGTCAGCTTGATGTTGCCTGCGTCCAGCGCAGCAGCCCTCTTGTCAAAGCTTATGACGTGGGCGAAGTCCTCAAAGGCTGTGTTCACCTCCACACAGAAGCCCCGGTCCTGTGGGCACAGCAGTGCGTGAAGGCCAGGGGCACCACAGGCCCAAGACCCAAGGCCAACAGGCAGAGGATCAGGCTGCAAGGCGTTCAAGCCTCTGCCCTCACATAGGACCCACAAGACTCGTGACACACCTTAGAAACCAGGCTAAGTCTTCATCTCACAGCCCCCTTCCGACCTGTGTGGGTCATATGGAGCCAAGGAAGTCAGGAAGCTTCTTCAGTCTTGATAGATGACTGAGTTTTGCACCATTACATCTTTTCCTCTGGCCACAGCTGGACCTTCCTGCTGCTCATGGAAGCTGCCACGCATTCCTAACATCTGGGCTGTACCCTCTGCCTCTCGTACTGAGTGCTCACTATGTAACAGGTTCTCTGCTGGGTGCCTGACACATCTCCTCTAATCCTCTCTTCTGTCAGGTCAGCCTCTCATTTGATGCAGACAAGAAAAATGAAAGCACTTGCTCTGTTGTATCTCAGGTCTTACCCCCAAATCTGACTTCAAGCACTACACCCACCCTGACTGCAGAGTTCCTGGAAGAGTTGCTGGCCATCGAGTGGGTCACTCTCCAGCAATATTAAAAACATGTCCACTGTCTAAGTGCATGGCCAGGCTCTATTTCTCGTCAAAAAGCCTCCATGTCCCAGTGAAGTTGAGGTGAAAGAGTGACATGAGAGGTAAATGGAACACTGTCACAGGCCAGCTTTCCTGTCCTTCCACACAGACGGCCTCCTCCAGTCTCCCTACTTGCTGATGCCAGGTGCAGACTTTTGCTCTCCCCAAGAGTCCTTTCTCAGTCAGGCTCCAGCCCTTCCAAGCACACCCTTCTTTCTGTAGGAGTGAGGACACAGCCAGAGGACTCTGTGTATACAGCTCAGTCTACCTCCCTTGAGACTGTGGGTCTCACAGAAACTGATGGTCTCCATTTTGGCTAAACTATCAGGCTTGGATCATGTCTCTGCCCTGCTTCAATGCTGGGGTTGCAGACACACCCAGACTTTATGTGGTGTTGAGGATTCACACTCAAGTCCTTACGCTTGTGTGGTAAGCATCACCTCCCTAGCAGTCCCTCCATAGGGAAGGCTTGACTACATCCTCTTCACTGTCCTCCCAAGGAACACACAGCTCCCTTTACTTAGAATAGCCCTCCATCCTGTTTTTAGCTTCTCAAGCTAGCTGTTTCTTTTCCTCACTTTCAATTCCTTGGACACAGCACAGGGAAAAGAAATAAACATTTATCAAGAGTCTGTTATAAGCAAGACACTTGACAAAATGTTTTTTTAAATGTTCTTTCTTACAATGTGGTATATAGATTCTCCCCAATTTATAGAGGATAAAACTGAGGCTCAGAAGCACAAGACAAACTTGTGGAGGTTTCGGGGCTAATAAACAGCCAGAAGTTACTTGATTGTGAAATATATGCAGTACTCTCCTCTCCATGATTCCTGTATTGTGGCCTCTCAAACTTCCCTTGTGTGGACACATACATATGTTCCTGAGAATCGCCCTTATACTATTATTTGTATTATTATTAGTTTTTGTTTTTTGAAACAGGTTTCTCTGTGTAGCCCTGGCTGTCCTGGAACTCACAGAGATCCACCTGCCTCTGCCTCCCAAGTGCTGGATTAAAGGCATGCCCCACTACTGCCTGGCTTTTTTTTTTTTTTTTTAACTTACCTGATCTACATTTCCCTAGCAGTTCCGCCCCTCAACCTGCCATACCACCAGGCTACTCTAATGCACCACTCCCTCCCACACCCATCGTTAATCTTCTAGCCCAGACCTCCAGTCTCCTATCTGCTCTAAGTTCAGGGTCCTACATTGTCCCAGGAGATGAGACTATGGATGACCACGGGAACTGAGATCACCTGCCCCCTAAGCTGGGAGCTCCAATGAGGGAGTAGAAAGTGGAGCTGTCCAAAATAACTGCTTTCTCAGGTGGTGTAGACAGGAGCCCAGCAGGCCATTCTACCAGTTACTTTGGCTAAATGTTAAGTAATAAAATGTAGCTATATCTTAAGATAGGTATTTATAATTTGCAGGATCACACTGTGCAAGATATGTTACTTGCTTTATTCCTTCCTGCCCTGGTTGCTTTTAAAAGTTACTTCCCAGGAATGCTTGTCTTCTGCAGCCAGTTCCTCTTTTTTTTTTTTTGGGTGTGTGTGTGTGTGTGTGTGTGTGTGTGTGTGTGTGTGTGTGTGTGTGTGTGCGCGCGCGCTTTCAAGACATGGTTTCTCTGTGTAGCTCTGGCTGTCCTGGAACTCGATTTGTAGACCAGGCTGGCCTTGAACTCACAGAGATCCACCCTGCAGCCAATTCTTTCTGCTTAC